GCCTGGATAATTGTGCATAAATATCTTAATTGGTCATCAGTGAAGAAGGTGCATCTTGATTTTCTTAACCTCTGGAAATGGCGTAACAGTTGGGGAGATGTCTGTACCGAATTTGTGTCAGTATGACTGGAGGGCAACAATTGATTGATGCCTTTTTTTCTGGTTTTTATTGTTGGATCTAGTAATTCCTGAGTGTTTGAAACATTAGTACTCAAAAGACTTGTTGTTTCTGTTTTTGTAATTGTTTGCTATCGTTGTTGCCTCGCAGTCAGTGCGGGGTGTATAGAGATTTTTGACGGATTTGTTTATTGCCCGTGGAGCAGTTTTACTTGAAATGCATGTGACGCCACTATTTCTGCTTGACTGTAAGTTTTTTTTGGACATTTTTATATTTTTTGAGTTTTTTCAGAATGGCAAAAAGCAAAAGAGAAACGATGAATAGTGGTGACACCACATCACTGTTTGGAAGGATGAAATCGTTTGTTTAAGTTTCTTTTGAAGACTTGTTGGTCCTTGATTCTTCTTCTGAGTTTTTGGATGGCATCAAAACTTTTTTGCTCTGTTTTTCTTCATTTTATTTTAATTTTTTTGAGAGAAAGAGAAGAAAAGATCCATTGTCATATTGCTTCGTTTCTTTGATTTTCTTTTAAAACTTAATTTCTCACATTGTGTTATAAAGTTATGCTTGTGATTTGGCTGCACAGTGTTGATATTTTGAGCAGTAAGTGCTAATGTAAGTAGTAGCCAGCCCAAACAAATCTTTTTCAAAATTGATGGCATGGTGGAGAAAAAAAAAGAAGAAAAAGAAATTTTTTTTGTTTTGCTCATGATAAACGGTTATGTTTCGAGCTGTGAAAATTTTCAGAGAAATATAATGCTGATGATCGGTTGAAATTGTTGCTTAGTTGAAGTCCGGAAAAAAAATGCTTTTTCTTTTATTTGTTTTGCTTTGAATAAGAGCACCGATTAAGATGGGCGGGGGTTGGGAGGAGGAGGGGGAGGGGGTAAAGGGGTAATGATGACGAACAGGTGATTCTTTCAACTGGAACGGTTGTTTTCAACTGCTCTTTTTGTTTTGGAGAGGGGTGGTGTAAATTGTTGTCTAAGTTCGTTTTGCTTGTCGACCCATAACTTCTTTACAAATTCAGAACCTCTGTTTTAGTCGTTTCAGTTGCTGTCCTTCCAATTTGTAGTCGTCATTTTTTGCTTGACTACTTGTCGTGGTAGACACAAATACACTTATACAGTCATTGTGTTGCTGTTGTGGTGAATGCTGAACGTCGTTACCGTTGTCATATTCTTTAGCGTTGATGTGCGTTAATTTAGTAGGTTGATGAAAATCGTTTCGTTCACTGCTAATATGTTGTGGAAGAAAAAAAAAAACGAAAGAAATAAAGAATTGTAATGATGACAAATCATTGGTTGCTTTGTTTGGCATCTGTATAATTGTATGCTAACCTGTATGCCATGAATCTGAACCGGCACAGTTAAATGGGTTCCAACTACATCTATCCATCGGTTTTCTGTTTTTTTCTCTACTTTCAATGGTTTCCAGCCCCTAGCTGTCACTTTGACAACATTTTGGCATGATCAATTTTTTTAATCCAGGAATGAGTGTCGTCTGTTTTCAAAGGCACATGAAATGCCGATATGCGTTGAAGTATCTGAGAAGATTTAAGCGATTAATTGCATGCCAACAGGAAATATGCCTATTGTCATTGGCCGTTTTTCAATTATAAGTGATTTTCAACATAAGATGTTGAAATTCTATTATTCCTTATGTACAGCATTTCGCTTGATCATTGATTTCAAATTAAGATACAATTTCAGTTTAGCAAGACGAAGTCACTGATTTTATTACACTTAGTTGTTGTTTGACGACCGCTGAATTTAGTCTTGGCGGCATTTAAAAGGAGAATAAAAGGGGAGAAAAATTATCCTGAGAACTCTATAAATCAGCCAGGCTTTAGAAATGAAGACTTTAACTGATTTTTGATTATTCACCTTATAAAAATTTTGTTGTAAATTGCAAGTAAAGGTTAGAGGGGGGAGGGGGGTAGAGAGCCAAAAAAAGTGATATTTTTAATTAAACAGGTTTAAGAAATTTTTTTCGTTATTTAGAAATTTGTAACTTAATAAATATTGCCGTTGGATATAGTTTTGTAAAGAAAAAAAAATTGATTTAACTGTTGATTGCGTCTGGTTTTGGAACCTATTGATTACAGTCGTTTCGAACAACTGTGCACCGTAGCATAATTATGTTGTTGTTAATTTTTGATCAGCCAATATATAATTGAGTAAAGTTTTCACAGCTGTTTTAGCGTGAAAAATAAGAGGAGAGAAATAAACTTATGATACCTTTTTTTTTGAAAGGTTTGACGTTGTTTGATATTTTGTTATTTAACTAGGCAGCAGCAACAGCAGTAATTTGAACGATAGTATCGATAGATGATACCAGTTTTTTCTGATCAAATCACTTTGTTAGTACTTCTTAATCCACAAAATTTTGCAATATATCTTGTCCTGTGATAGGCTTCTGTTGTTGTCAGCTATTTCGAAAATTTATACACAGGTACACTGGGTATCTGAATATGCATTTGATCGCTGAATAGCGTTAAGTTTTTTAACTGAACTTCTAAGTGCAATTTGTTGGTTACCTGAAATATGATACTATTTTAAGAGGATTATGCTAACTGAATTACTCTTTTTGCTGCATTTTTTTTATTTGTTTCAGCTTTATTTTGAATATCAAATAAACATTTTCTTTTTTTTTTCTTTTATTTCTTTCATATTCTTTTTTTTTCTCGTCTATTTACGATTTTA